CGAAGGGTCCGGTGAACGGTTGACCAGAATGCGAAAGGATGTTTACCGGATACTCGAAAGCGAGATGAAGAGAAGCGTCGCAAACCTGAAAACGGAGAGCGATGGAAATGGACTCGTACCTCGGGTACCGAGGATCATCAGTTGAGGGATCAAACTACATTTTTGAATGCCCAAGGCTTTTTGAATATGGTGTTTTTACGATCTGTCAATCGCCTTATACTTAGAGCAGCAGTTGGCAAGCTTTGAGCAAGAAAGACCCTGTCTTCATAGGAATTGTCTTCATTCTTTCAGGGATCCGATCCAGCTTTGAGGATTCATAGAGGGGTGAAGCCTTTGTGAAAACAGAGGTTGATGAATGAACTGATGCTTATACTAAGATGATTGAACCTATTCCCTTGTCCTGTAGACGTATTCTTCTTGGGTTTCAAAGCAGAGCTTAGAGCTTGTCATCGCTGTCTTACTTTCTTGATTTAAGGCGGGGCTTGGGGTTAGGGGGCTTCAGTAGCTATTCATGGATGAGCTAACCAGAGCGTAAGGCAAGGTTTTTTTATCGCGGAATTAGCCCTAAATCATAGTAATAAGCAAGCCATGGTTCGCCCTATTCGAAGTTTTCGAGTAGCTCAATTCCCTCTTCCTTCATTCTTTCAGTTTCCCTGCCATTTTTACTATTCCAATTCAAGGAATCGATTTGATTCTTATGAAAGTTCGCCCTTCTTGGATTGCTTCGTGAAAGCCATCTTTCCAAGAGAAGTCAATTACCGCTAACGCCCCTTGTCTTGTCTATAAGTAAAAACTCTGCTCTGCCTAGGGCTTAGCTTAGGTCAGCGAGCGAACCTTGTGTCATAATCAATATAGTAGGTCAGAACCATGGGTGATTTCCCTTGTTAGAATAACTGCAGCAATGGAATCTCTTTACGGAAGTTCTACTCGAGAAGTTCTTTTCTTCATAGATCCCTAGTTCGAAACCTATGCTTCCTGAAAACATCTTTTTCATTAGCAAGAAGAGCTCTTTCAAGCTCATCGGCAGACAAGAAAGTTGAACCGACCCTTTCTCAGGAGTAGGAGAGCAGCTATACCCAGAGAAGACATGATATTAGGATATTGAAAAAGGTCAGACGAAGGAATAGCGATATGAAGAGCGGAGACCTGATCATGGCACCTTCCTAGCCCACGGGAGCATCGGAATGAACAGGCAGAGACATACAGAGATTTAGTCACAAGAGGACATGCGCGCCTCACGGATACCAAAGCCTTAGGTATCTATCCCCTTGCTTGCTTTCGATCGTCCTCGGCCCCGAAGTTACTGGATTAGTGAGATGGCGTAATCCCATTGGCTCGGGGTGGAGAGCTTGACCTAATAACAGGATCCGATCTCATCCATCTCCTTTGAGGGGAAATGTGATGGGACTCTTTCTTTAGACTACAGACTGCACCGGGCGAAGCTTAGGAAGAGGGGTGGTTCTGTCAGTCGAAGTGCTTTAGTTGTACCTCGGAGAAAGCAAGGAGCGGAACCCTATGATGACTCACTTTAGGTTGAACCTGATCTGAGATCTTCAAAAACCAAGCAATGAAGCCCGCTAGATGAAGAGCCCCAATGAAAGTTGAGAAAGATTTGCCATCTTGAAAGGCAGCTAAGAGCGCATCTGGTCTTCCACAACACACTGGATATTCTCATTCATGGACGCCAGCTGGAGAGGCTCTTAATAGTTTGTTCCGAGATGTCAGTCTGCATAGCATCATCTTCATCTCTTTCATCGCACGTAGGCTCAACATCCAAGACAGCGTAACGAGACCCAAACGGATGAACCAACTTGAGATATTCAAATATTCCATCGGCATCCCTGGTATAGTGATAGAATAATATTAGGCACATCAAGCCTAACTAGGCTTGCTTCTATCTTTATAGATCGGTGTATGACAAAGATATATATTGTCGGCACAGCTCCCTCAAGCTGAAGGGGAGGAACTACACGAAGCTTGGACCGAAGAGGAGCAAACTTAGCAGAAGATAAAGCCTTGGTAAAGACATCTGCCAATTGGTACATGCTTGAAACATAGCATACCCGAACTTCACCCTCTCACGAACAAAATGGAAATCCATTTCTAAATGCTTAGTGCGAGCCGCAAGGTACGTCGCACTAACATTCTCACAATAAAGAGCTCCAGGGTCAATGTAATTGAGAAGTAATTGACGAATCCAAATTGTATCCGCCACTGCAAAGGCTACGGAACGGTATTAAGATTCAGCACTGGACCTCGAAACTCTGCTTCTTAGCACTCCATGATATATGATTGCCACCAAGGTCAATTATATCGAGCCTGGACTTCCTGAAATGTTTAAGACAGTCATGCCAGCTTTCGTGTAATGATGTTATGCCCTGGCGACACTGGAGAGCTCCCGCCTTTAGTTCGTACTTCCGTAAAGTCTCAATCACAGCTGTCAAGTCGGGTTAGTAGCTTCTAATAAGGAAAAGCTGAACTAAGCCTTTCGCTACTTTCGTAGTTGCTCATTTACGCTACTCTGCCCATCGGAATAAGCTTCCATGCAGATTTAGGGTTCCCGATTTCCTGTCATT